AAATGATTAAACTCAATTATCTCAAAATAAAATATATGTAAAAAAGGGCTGTTTTAATAGATAACACCCCATATGTCAACCTTTTTAGATATGAAGATAAGATATCAAACCTTCATATCTTTAAAATATGGTTGGCCATGCAGGCTTCATCAAAGCTATCTAGCTAGATAAGAGGGTCTTGATTTCTATCTCCAAATATTGAGAACTCTACTACTTTTGATTCTCGAAGCAGATAGAAAGCATTATTCTTTAAAGTGAATATGAGATTATTTATACTCTGAAGCAATTAGTTTATAGGGTCTAGCTGACATCTGGACCTTGTGGTTGAAGTTGGGGTAATCTAGCTTAAAAGGGTTTTAGGGTGGTTGGTTCTGAACTAAAGAGTGTTTGCGGTTGTTAATATATTATTTTTGAGATAGTAGCATTCTAACAGGAATTAGTAAATATCATTGTAGCAGTGGGCTTTAAACCTCGAAGCAAACTTGTTGGGTTTGGATAAAGTGATTGTTTTCAGGTTAGGTTCTTGGTCTTAATGGTTCCACAATAGAATCAAAAGCTTTTGATATCCATGTGTGTAAGTTTGTTCTGCTCTTTGGTAAAGATAATGATCCTCATATTTATCTTGATAATTATTGCTTTCATATAGATTATCGACTACAATATTATGCAATGGCAAGATCAGGACTGCTTCAGGATCTGATACTACTATTTGATCTTTGGCTTCTTTCTCTTTCTCTACCCAAGCATCATATATATAAAGTGTAGATGAATCAAGGTAAACAGTAAGAAATTGATCATCATAATATTTTTCTGAATTATATATGCTAAAATCGATAAGGTCTTTCACACTTATCCTTCTACTTCACATATTGGGTTGGCAAAGTCTTTGAGCAGTAGCAGCAGAGGTTTCAGCGCATAGACTAGTAGCCATATCAATGATCAGTGAATTGTCAAAAGTTGGAGGTGAAAATGAGATTTTGGACCAGATTTGTATATCTAATTCCTAGTTAATTGGGTTTGAGAATATATGCAATCATAGGTAACTCATAAACTTTTTAATTTTCTAAAGCAATCTGGTTTTGTTATCATCATCAAGTGTAATTAAAATATTCGATTATAAGTTTTATATTGGGTTTTTAAGAGAACTTTTCTTGGAGTTTATTTTAAGATAAGTGTTAGAGATATCGAAATCTGCTTCTACAAAGTCTTTTACAAGTGCTTTTTATATGAAATCATTTTACTAACTTATTATCTATTTTTAGGGTTTGTTATTTATTAGACTATTTCTTAACCCCTTTAGTTTTATATTTAATACTATCATTATGATTTTTTGTATAACAATTTATATATAATGATCATATTCGTAATAATTATATGCATAATGGTCGTATATATAATAATATTATGCGTAATAACTATATTAATATAATTGTAAAATAAATAACTAAATAAATAACTAAATAAATAACTAAATAAATACATAATAAAAATAAATAGGGTTGAGTCAATAGAAATCAAGCAAATTTTTTCTAAGTAAATTTTTTTTAAACTTTAAACAATAATAACTC